AAAAGGAGAGAGGAGAAGGGAAGAAGAGAGAGAGAGAGAGAGAGAGAGAGAGAGAGAACAAAACAAAGAAAAAAGTAACAGGAGGAACAATGAACAATAGAGTATGGTGGTTTGTACAAGGAATGGAGGGAGAAAGAGAACAGATTTAAGCACTGAAACTTCTGAGAGTACTCAGAGCACAGTCCCTACTGTACTAGTGGGATTTGCTGTCAATGGCCCCAGCAGTGGGAGGTACTCACAGCTGACCTGGGAGCCCAGCTTATGCTCCCAGACGGCATGCAACTGCTGATACTCCTGCTGTGCCAGCTCCAGACGCTGCTGCTTCACCTGGTAGATCTCCTTTTGTGCACTCAGAGCCTCCTGGGCCACGACCAGGTAATCCTTCAGCATGTGCTCTTGCTCCCGCCGCCATTGCACCCTCGGATCCTCGATCTGAGTGGTCTCTGAAACAGATCCCAAGACACTATGTCAGCATCGTACATGTACTTACGGGGTTGGCTGTTGGGCTACACAATCCACCATTGGAAAACAAAAGTATGATGTGCAGAAACTCCCAATAAATATAAGTGGGTTAAACTTACTACATGGCAAAGCAGTTCCATAGGGATTAGTCACACAACCAAAAAAAAAATAAATCAAGATCAGGTTTTAAATTGAACCTCAAGTTCTGTTTGATAACAACTGAAAGAAGGACATAATAGAGGTTCAAGGCCATCTGCTATGACTCAGTATAAAAGGAAACAACCACTAGTCAGTTCTAAAGGATATGAATAGACACCCTGTACTCCATTAGCAATATAAAGTACAGTCATATAAATTAGAAACAGACTTAAAATATTAATGCCCTTGACCAGTAATTCCTCCTATAGTAATTTATTATAAAAATATTTTTTAAAATTCAGGTGGAAATACAAAAACATGATAAATAGCAGGCATATATTTAGTATTTATTAAGCCAATAACTGCTCTAGGTACTTTATATGGACTCAATTCTCCAGTCTTTGCACTAACTACACAATTGACTCTGATTCTACTTCCACTGCACAAAATACATAACTAAGATACAGAAAGGTTAAACAACTGCTTCAAGGTTGTTCAGGAAATTTTGCCTGAAAAAATATGCATTCAAATCTTTTATCCATATTCTCATCTGTTGGGCTTTTAAAGAATTATTTTTAGTGATGCATATGTGTGTATACCTGTGTGTGAGTATATATACATGAGTGTGAAAGTGCACAGGCCAGAGTAGTACGATCCTCTGAAGCTGGAGTTATAAGTAATTATGAGCTTCCAGGCTCATAATGATGCTGAAAACCAAACTTAGGTTCTCTGAAAGAACAGAACAGCTCTTATCTACTCAGCCATCTCTCTAGCCATTGTTGGGCTTCTTGGGGTAAGAGTCCTTGATATATTCTGAATGTGGGTACTGTGCAAATATTTTCTCCTTTTCTCTAGTCTCTCTCTCTCTCTCTCTCTCTCTATCCCTCTCTCTCTCCTTCCTTCCCTCTCTCTCCTCTCTCTCTCCTCTCTCTCCTCTCTCTCTCTCCTTCCTTCCCTCTCTCTCTCTCTTCTCTCCTCTCTCTCTCTCCTCTCTCTCTCCTCTCTCTCTCTCCTTCCTTCCCTCTCTCTCTCCTCTCTCTCTCCTTCCTTCCCTCTCTCTCTCCCTCTCTCTCTCCTCCTCTCTCTCCTCCTCTCTCTCTCTCCTTCCTTCCCTCTCTCTCTCTCTCCCCTCTCTCTCTCCCTCCCTCTCTCTCTCTCCTCTCTCCTCTCTCTCTCTCTCTCTCTCTCTCTCTCTCTCTCTCTCCTCTCTCTCTCTCCTTCCTTCCCTCTCTCTCTCTTCTCTCCTCTCTCTCTCCTCTCTCTCTCCTCTCTCTCCTCTCTCTCTCCTTCCTTCCCTCTCTCTCTCCTCTCTCTCTCTCCTTCCTTCCCTCTCTCTCTCCCTCTCTCTCTCCTCCTCTCTCTCCTCCTCTCTCTCTCTCCTTCCTTCCCTCTCTCTCTCCCCTCTCTCTCTCCCTCCCTCTCTCTCTCTCCTCTCTCTCCTCTCTCTCTTTCTCTCTCTCTCTCCTCTCTCTCTCTCTCCTCTCTCTCTCTCTCTCCTCCCTCTCTCTCTCTCCCCCCCTCTCTCTCTCTCTCTCTCTCTCTCCTCTCCTCTCTCTCTCTCTCTTTCCCCCTTTCTCTCCTCTCTCTCCTCTCTCTCTTTCTCTCTCTCTCCTCTCTCTCTCTCTCCTCTCTCTCTCTCTCCTCTCTC